CCGGATGCCTGAGGCAGGCTACCCCATGCATGGTCGGACTCCTGAGAGTCCGACCATGGCCGGGGAAGCCGGCCGCGGGGAAGGGGAATCCCAGCGGTAGCCTTGGAAGGACCCTTCGGAAGGGTCCTTCCGAGGCCACCGCAGGCATTTTCCCCCAGCTGAGCTGCGGGAGCGCTCCTTCGGAGGCTCCCGCCGCTCAGCTGGGGGGAAATGGTGCCTATGGGGAAAACATCACAAAGCGATTTTCCCCCATAGGCAACATCGGTATGCGATCGCAAAAGCGATGGCAAAAATGCCATCGCTATGCGAATTCATCGTTAAATGGGGTACTCGTTATACGAGGCACCACTATATATGTTGTTTGTGCAGGAAAGAAAAAGTACTACAAATTTCCAGTCCCTTGACACACAAGGCAGACTACTGTAAATTATACCACTACTTCTTGGCTTCATTACACATAATTTTAAGCAGGCTCTGTCTGGCTTTAATCTCTGTATTTAAACTGATGATTTGTTTCAGAGTGAGAGCAATGAGGCTTCTAGTTTTGAAATTTGCAGCAGCGTGTTGCAAACCGGGCAGATAAAATAACTTTTGAAACATAAGAGATTCTGTTTCTTGAATGTTTATAGGTGACTATGGCCAGTTTGGACATTCCTTTTGCTATGTTTGCTCCAAAGAATGTTGACCTGGATGATAATGACCCCATGGTAAGATTTTTCAACCTTTGCTCATTTTCCCTTTTCAGTACTATCTGGATTTGTCTTCACTTCTTCATGCCAGTATTTGAATACATTCATCTTACAGGTGGATTTTTTTTCTTGACAGGTGAACCCTCCTGAATCTCCAGAAGATGAGTCTCCCCTCCAAGGCAGCCTACACTCAGTGGGCTCCAGTGACAGCAGCAGTGGCAACATCAATGATGATTTTGTTATGATAGATTTTGTAAGTTCACACTAGCCTTTATGCACGTAGGAGCTTTTCCAATAAAGCCTCAATGTTTGAAGCAGAATTCAAATGTTGAATCAAGAAAATAGAAATTAATGAAATCGTCTTCACAGAGATGTCTTTATATAACCAGTGTATACCCAATATCACTAAATATCCTTTTAACAAAATACTTAAACAGTGACATATGTCAGAGAAGGCTGAAAGACTGAGCTTCTTTACACTAGAAAACAGCAGAAAGTACAGAAACGTAGGACTTCTAAAGGCTGTGATACTGTAATAGATTCACAGGATTACAACTCAGAGGCTGTTTGGCTTTGCCTTTTGATTGAAAGCAAGATCTTTCTTGTTATTCTCGCTCCAAATTAATCCCCACAGATTATTACCCTAACCTAGTGCCAATATGGCAGAAGCAAAGAGAAGATCTCAAAAGGTTTTCTACTGCAGAAATATGCATATACTTCAGAGAATAGCCAGATGAACATAATCAGAAAAGTAAAACAGATTGCTCTACACAGGGCACAACTGGATCACACACACTGATACATATTGGTAATGGATAATATATCTTCCCAGTGATTTTTTTATTTAAAATGTTTCTATATGGCTTTTCGTGTGATCAGGGTGCAATATGATGCTTATAGTATTTTAATGTTTTAAATTATGATTCATTTCCTGTTGGGAAATCGTATCTGATGTATCTTTTAATTTCAGAAACCAGCATTTTCTAAAGATGACATTCTCCCAATGGACCTGGGGACCTTCTACCGTGAATTTCAGAATCCTCCTCCACTGAGAAGCCTCTCTATTGACATTGGAGCTCAATCCATGGCAGAAGATCTTGTATGTGAAAATAGGCTTTCACTTTATGTGTGATGCTCTGGCAAATGGCACTCTGAGAGTCAATCAGTTTATCTAAACAAGCCTCTTTTTCAGAGAGAGAGAGAGAGAGAGAGAGAGAGAGAGAGAGAGAGAGTTCCTGTCAGAGACCTTCTTTGCTGATATAGTAGAGAGCTGCAGCAGCATTGTGAAGAGTTTTGAAGGAGACAGTTTTGTTCAAATCTTACAAATCCTACGTCCCAGTGGTGCTCTGAAAGAGGTGTCCTTAGTCAAGCCTCATCTTCCAACCCAACAATAGACAGGCACATACAGTGGTGCCCTGCATAGCAACGTTAATCCGTTCCGGATTAACGTCGCTATGCAAAAACATCACTAAACGGATCAAAAAACCCCATAGGAACGCATTAAACTTCGTTTAATGCGTTCCTATGGGGCCCCAAACTCACCGTTCAGCGAAGTTCCTCCATAGCGCTGCCATTTTCGCGCCCTCAGTAAGCGAGGGCAGGGCGCAAAAATGGTTGCAGCGGCCATTTTGGGCGTCCGGTGGCCATTTTGGAACTGCCGATCAGCTGTTTAAAAAACATTACAGTGCGAAGATCGGGAAGCGAAACGCTTACCGATCATCGCAATGTGATGTTTTGCCATTGAAAACATCGCAATGCAATCGCATTAGTGATCTCAAAAAAGTGATTGCTATGCGGATTCATCGTTAAACGGTGCGCTCGTTAAGCGAGGCACCACTGTACATACATAGATGCATACAGAAACATAATAATGGAATAATAACATAGGCCACCTTTACAGGGTTTGAGAAATTCCTGAGATAACACTCACAAAGCATTTGAAATGTTTTGAAATGCTACATAAACATGCATTGAGAGGTAATCAATATTTCTGTGCTTTGACAAAATAGAGAGGAATGCACTTTTGGAGTATGTCTACGGCAGTTGCCAAAGAATAGTAGAGAGGAATGCAGTTTTGGAGTATGTCTACGGCAGTTGCCAAACACATTCTAGATCAGATGTTCACTTGTGAAGAATAGTCCTTGATTACGTATAGAACATTATACCTGCAAAATTTCATTTACTTTTGAGAGTATGTAGCCTTTGTTGAGATTTCAACTCAGATTCACACCTCAATTCATGGAAAGGGCTACTATTGTTTTATATTTCATCATGGTACCTGCTAAATTCATAGCCCTAGTTGCTATGAACAGCAAATACCTTTTCAGTTAACCACTTTATAGAGCAAGAAATGGATAGGTATAATCCACTTAATTGTATATCAATGATTTTTTTTAGTAAAGATCTTTTTTTCCACAGCATTTGGGCCATAGCATTTTCATCTTGCTAAATATTTCTCCTCTTCTCAGTTTGCAGAGATATGGCAGTTTGAAGGGCTGCTTGGGACAGATTAGCATGACTGCCACTTTAATCTATTAGATGACAAGCAATATTTGAACTTCACCCCACCCCTTCATGCCAGTGCCATATTGTGATTTTGTCAGCAATTCTCTGTCTGAAAATAGGGAACTTAACCACAAAGGGAACTTGGAAGAATTGTAAAACTGATTAGCCTCAAGGTAGTACAAGTACTGTAGAGAATTTTCATGCAAGATTCACTAGCTCGATTCAGCTGTTAAAATCTTTTATGAATACTCACAAGTATAGGGGTGAGTTCTAACTGTGCCCTATCAGTCATCACTTGCATCACCCTGGTTCATGTGGGGAGCAAAAGGTCTGAATGAGTGGATCACTAACCATGGGAGTGCTCCAGATGAGTCAAGACGGTGGAAAATAAGGGTCCTAATGCAAACAGCATCTTCCTCTTCATCCTTGTTGTCCTCCATATCACAAAGAAACTGTGAGTGGAGGAGGAGGAAGAGCTAGAATATTCCCCTCTTCAACACAGGTTTTAATGAGTGAATAGGATTACTGTTTTGGAACTTCAGCAGGACTCCGAACAGGTGCATTTAGGAATTGAGACTATTCAGTTGCAGCTTTTATCTTGGTTTATTTTCTTTCCTTTGCTTCTCACAGCCAATTGCCAATTTCCATTGCCTCTGCTTTAACTGTATTGCAAAATGCTGTCTATTGCGTGGCCATGTTAATGTCAGGCTTCAGACATGCAAAACAGGAGCCAAAAATATTTTTCCCAAATAAGCACCTTGCTTCTAATACTGCACGATAGTCCTTAAAGCTCTCTCTGGGCAGTTTACAGTTTAATTATGCAGGCTACAGTTTGAGCTGGATAAGAGCTGCATTCACAATACCTGTAGAATCTAGATTTTAAAAGCCTATGAGCAAAAATGTCTCTCAGACATAGGCAGGTTGAGTAATGTCATAGCTCATGAAGAGAATGAGAGGCCTGCATCTCAAACACTTGCCATTGCTTTTCTCACACAAAGGAGCAACACCTTAGCTATGTAATAAGATTGTATTTATGGCATTTTAATTGTTTTTATGAGCTATCCATGAGAACTGGAAGATCTGGGTGCTGAGTTTGAGAACACTGCATGGGTTGAGAGAATCATTATGCTGGCAATGCTTTTGTTGCTTCAAAGCTGCTTTCAGATCAGGTTGATGTAGCTGCTCAGAATTTTTCTTTGTCTTTGCAGGACTCACTGCCAGAGAAATTGGCTGTCCATGAGAAAAACGTCAAGGAATTTGATGCCTTTGTCGAGACTTTACAGTAAAGCTGAACCCCTTCTACAGCAATATTGAATTTTCACTTGGACACTGGAAAAGGAAGCCTGTAAATTCAACCTTTCCCTTAGTGTCCTTGTTTTTGTCCCATCACCTCATTAAGTAGGCACTGATTGCTTTGATCTGTGAGATACAGAAACAGTGGTGTGTGTCTCTTTGAACCTGGCCTTGGTGTGACTCACTTCTCTTCCAGTATAGGGTTCATTTCTAATACAGTACATTAGGAAACAAGAAGAAAAAGCACTTTCTCCTTCCCTTCTTTCATTTGGATGCAGTGCTGCTTCCTCCGTCAACAAGGTTATAGGATCTGGTTTCCTAAGGATATTCTTTTCATTTGCATCTGCACTACCACCAAGCCTAAAGGACACTGACTGAATATAATGCCCTTGTGAGTATTGGACAGATTCTTCTAATGTGAGTTCAACATCAGCTTTGTGGAATTGGCCTGTCTGCAGTGACTGCAGCCCAGGCATGAAGGCAGGGGCCAGTGCTCACTTTTTGTGCAGTAAACAAGGCAAACACAATTATGGACATCTTGGTGATGGGCCTGCCTGAGGTGGAGCTGGGAAGTAATCTACAGAAGTGGAAAGAAATATTTTTCATGTATTACCTTGCCAACAACAGAGTATGTTGAATTGTCACCCTCCCAAGGAGAAGAATCAGTCTGTAGTTGTAAATATGTTAGGAATCCTAATTCTCTAGGGTTATTTAATTTGGAGTCTTTCATCCAAAGTTCTTTCCTCTGTTCCCACCAGATATTGCTGCTCTATCATAAGATAAACAAGAAAAATATTTATTACTGTAAAGGAAACCTATATTTAAAGAAAAATGTATTTGATGTTTTCTTTTTTGTTAATTAGCCATAAAGGCTGCTGTGTCCTTTTTCACTGCAAGAGTGCTATCCCAACAATCCTGGTCTGTCCTCCCACAACCTGCAGGAACAGAGATGGTTATGCTGGGTTAGTAAAGTCTCTTTGGAACTGACATCATTTCCCTTTTCTGCCCTGTTAAGAGTCCATGGATGTCACAAAAGAAATGCACGCCATGCAGTGAGCTTACAGGAAGCTTTAAAAAAGCTGAGTTTTGACAGGCATTGTAAAATACATTTGCTGTTGTCTATGGATAGTTCGGAAGTAGCTTATTGAAAGAAGCACATTTTAAGAGGTCTGTGGTACTTGTTTGATCAGCTGGGTTTTGGTTGGCTAAAAGTTTATTTTTGTATTGAGCTAGCTATTAAGCAATGTGGTGGGTTGGCATCGCTGCATGTTTGATCTGCCTGCTCTGTTTCCTTCACTAGATATGGGGAAGGGAAGAGATGAGCCTCTAAACACGAGCTCAGGGATAAACTGGACTCTGGGCACAATTTGCTCCTTTTCATTATCAAAAGCCAGGCTGAAGCAGAAGTCATATACAATTTTTTAAAGGTGTAAGTCTTATTAAATATCACAGCTTACTTCTGAGGAAATATGTTTAAAATTGTACTTTAAAATGCTGAAGAAATACATTTTAGCTCCACCCTACTTTTGCCTGCTATCTTAGATGCTATTTCTTATAATTGCAGACCTTTTTAGATTCCAATGGCCTTTATGGTTTGCAGGTATGGTGAAATGATCATTTCTTGACATACACAGCTGTATTTTTTAAGATGAACTGGAGCAGCATTTCTGAGAATGACAGTTGTCTGACCATGTAATCTTTAGGCTTTCTTACCCCTGCTGCTGCATAGAAATGAGCTAAAGATTAAATTTCTTGCATTCTAGCACAGTGTTTTGAATGTTTAACTCAAATTGTGAGAGCTTTTGTTCACGAAGACTTTAAAATGGCATTATAAATGGTATTCAAAGCAGATAGCAGAGATACAATAACATGTCATTGGTCCATGAAAAGCAGTCAAATCCAGTTTCTTTTGCCAAGAGTGATACCAACGTCAGAAGTACCCTAAGCCTCTCAATGATTCTTCAAGAGAGAGTTGGCACAAACCTTAGTCATGATGTGTGCATGATAGGGGGCTTTAGCCTTCAACTCCTTCATCCTTTTAAGTAAACTGGAATGTATGAGATTAAATACCTTGTGTTATCCATGAGGTATCAAGCACATCATCAAACACCAGTTAATGATGATTTTGATATGCCTTTGTCTAATGAGGTTGGCTTTACAGTAATAAAAGCAGCAGGGTATACTGTTCAAATAAATTTCTTCATGGATTGTCTAGAATATTTTTGCACACCTTCCCACTGACGTTCCTTTGTCACAACATTCCCTCCCTTTTTCCTTATCTTTATACTGAAATGCATAATGTTTAAGCAAGGCTAACCACAGTTCTGTTCCCCCCCACCCCCCGAAATTTATTCTCTTTAGACCAAAGCCACATATTCTATATCTCAAAGCAGAATCATTGTGGAGAGACTGCTGTTGGTATTCACTTCCAGTGACTACTGAATGTGCACACCTGCTGAGTTTTCTTTACAAATTCTGTACTATTTTGTGCGGTTTTCTGAATCTTAGTACTTTGTTCTACGAGTAACATTACTCATTAATTATCAACATCTTTACTAATTAAAATCAGCCCTGTTCTAGGAGGCATCCAGCTGTTGTAAATTTTCAAAGACAGATATCACTGATCACCTCCTAGGTGCTGTACTGCTAACTGAATAAGAATTTATAAATAACTGGCAACTTAATAAATACTTAGGCGGAAAGGAGAAGGGTTCCTGAATTAATTTCTTGGAATTAATTTCAACATGTATTCATATACTTTCCAATAAAACTATTATGTATATTACTCTTAATCTAGCTGTCAACAAGAATTTTACCTGTTCTTACCATGTTTGTTACAGAGGTCACATTTCAGCAGCGTCAATAGAACAGCTGCCAAGTAAAGAGCTAACTTTTCTGCTGCTATTTCTAAGAGCTATCTTGCATATCTCCTCTTCATAGTGGCAGTATTCAGTGTGATGATGCCAGTGTATATGTTCAGTTGGACTTACTTTCCAGTAAGTACATTAGACAAAATACGTCTATTTTGGTAACAGTACCATTGCTGCATTAGGTGCCATCAAGTCAGAACTGACTTATAGTGACTCTAATAGGGCTTTCAAAGTAAGTGAAATATTTAAGAAATGGTTTTACCATTTCCACTCCTTTGTGAGTTCCCATAGTCAGGGTGGAATTAGAACCAAGGTCTCCTAAATCCTAGTCTGTCGTGCTATTTCCTACACCACACAGTGTTTAGAATAGTACCATTACAGGATAACAAAGATTTTGAAATGTATATACACAAATAGAAAAGTTATTAACATGATACAAATTCAGACGCCCATGATTCTTACTGACATAACGCCATCTTAGCCTTTTTCATGATTACGAAAGTTATTGTGGCAATTACACATTCATTGCTTTCTGTATTAATTTGGAAGGTCTAAAGCATAGGTCGGGGAACAGGAGTAAATTACTCCAAATTGGGTAAAAGTGAAAATCCTGGGGGTAATGAGCAGAGTGCTACCTCCCTCCCCCCCTCCCTCCCCCCCCCTCTGCAGCCAAACCTCAAATTGTTAGCCACCTCTCCGTTACTTGGTTGCAGCAGGGCACTCGTAAATCTCTCTTAGAGATAGGAGATAAGCCTCCTTGATTGGTTACAGCTGTGGATTAGCCCTGGGCAATCAATCCGGGGCTTCTGAATGACTGCTTCCTCCAGAAATGACTGCAGACAAGCAGGAGGAGGGAGAGGATCAAGGAGCAAGCAAGGGAGGGAGGGAAGAAAGGTCCGAGAGACTGAGGACTTCATCAAGCTTATTTAAATGTAGGAAATGGAGGGAGGGTGGGTTGATGGATGGATGTGTGTGTGAGAGAGAGTGAGACTGACTCAAAACTGAAAATGAACAGGCAAGCAAAATAGAAACTAAATTAAGGCGGAGGAGAGGGTGGCTTTTTAAGGTGCTGTCTAGGTTTATCATTGCTTTCCTTCCAAGAAGCAGGCATCTTTGAATTTCATGGCTGCTGTCACGCTCTGCAGTGATCATGGAGCCCAAGAAAGTAAAATCTGTCACTTGCCTCCATATCTTCCCCTTCTATTTGCCAGGAGGTGATGGGACCAGTGACCATGATCTTAGTTTTTTTGATGTTGAGCTTCAGACAATTTTTTGCACTCTCCTCCTTCACCCTCATTAAGAGGTTCTTTAAGTCCTCCTCACTTTCTGCCATGCTTTTGCATAGTCAATGAAGGAGAAGTAGATGTTTTTCTGGAACTCTCTGGCTTTCTCCATAATCCAGCACATGTTAGCAATTTGGTCTCTAGTTCCTCTGCCCCTTCAAAATCCAGCTTGTACTTCTGGGAGTTCTTGGTCCACATACTGCTGAAGCCTGCCTTGTAGGATTTTGAGCATAACCTTGCTAGTGTGTGAAATGAGTGCAATTGTATGGTAGTTGGAGCATTCTTTGGCACTTCCCTTCTTTGGGATTGGAATGTAGACTGATCTTTTCCCATCCTCTGGCCACTGCTGAGTTTTCCATTGATGATGATAAAAAAAGCACACTGGTCCTTTGGGTTGTGGCACCAGGGTGGGTGACATGACCTTTAGCCTGGTTTGTTCCTTTTTGCACACCACACATAGAATGATTAAAGTGGTAGGGAAAGCCTTCCTCCCATTCTGCGTTGGCTGTCTCTAGCAAGCATGTCATTGCTAGCACCACTCTGGCAGCCACTGATGATTAAATCCTCTGCGAGCTAGGAAAAATTTAATGCAACTTGCTAGGCATGTTGGACACTTTACTACTCCCTATACCACACCATGGCTGGAGTGCAATGTGCTCCAGCAAAAATAGTGCACATCTTTATCAAATTTGCTGCATCCTGCTAGTTCGGTACACAGCCTGTGTAGATTCAATAATATTTTGATACAAATAATGTATGATTTCCTTCCTTTCGAATCAAGGGGGTAATGTTGGCGTATATAAAAAACATTTTTTTGGGGGGGGGTAAAAGGTAAAGTTCCCTGACCCCTGGTCTAAAGAGAAACTATATTGAGCAGTAAAGGTAGGGATATGAATGGTTACTGTATAACATTGTGTTGGGTTCTCCCATAAACTGTGATGCAACAGGATTGGTGACTATGCAATAGCACTGCTTTAGCCAGCAGAGAAGGCATTACTGTAGTTCAACTGACTTTTCATAAAAATCTGAATAGGTAAGTGATTCAGAACAGGAAAGAAACAAACATGCTTGGAGAAAAGGTGGTTGCTTTGCTGTTGTTCATCCATGCACTTTAACAAAGAGTTTTAAACTCCTCAACTCTGTTAAAAAGTTAACAGAATTATTCAGGTAGGGGGCTTAAATTTCTTATTTATATGATACTTTATAACAGTTCACAGGCAGCTCACATTAAAAAAATCATGAAAGCCATTCTCTCTGCTCTATGAAACTGACTAATCTGAGAGGTTATGAGAGGTTACTCCATTTTTCTGTTTTCTTTCAAAAAAAAACAACACACTAATTTGAAAAGAGCTAGTTCTTTACTACATGTAAGATGTAGTAAAGCTGGGGAACAAAGACCCAAACTACTTGACCTGTCAGCTTTCTAATTTAATGCACTATCAGCTAACCTGAACACTTTCTATCATTTTTCCAGAAACTTCATGCACATCAATGAGGCATTAGACCAACGCAGTATCAAAAATCCACACATTTCCAAGAAACACAAATGAATATGCAATTATTGTGAAGATACCTGTTATGGTTTGACAGCAGTCAGAAATTACTAATTAATACACAGATAAAAGTATCCCCTTTATTCTTAGAACAACCTCTTGCATTTTAGATTCATTGAGCATATTCTACAGTTTTTTTGGGAAGTCAGCTCATGAACACATGCTTTTGTTGTCTGGAAAATTCATTTGATGCAAAATTGTGTACATTTTTAGAGTATATGGTGCTGAGACCAGTAGGAAGACTAATACATGGCTGATAGCACTGTCACACTGTGTACACCTCATTAAGAGGGAAAGCCATAATGGAAGGCCACACAAGTACTATAGCTTCAAATGGATATGGTATGCTGCTCCCTATATTCTGCTATGTTTTGTGCCCATCAATGTTCAGAAGAGTGTAAAATGCTTTCTTCCTGCCATGTTTGCAGCTCTATTTCTGTAAACAAATCTTAACTGTTATGATGCCACCCCACGATCACTTGGAGATTGAAGTCAACTTGAATTGCTTCTGCTAATTTGGTAGCCAAGCAACCATGAAGGCAGAGCACACTGGCAATTGTTTATGCTGGGCCAGGTGGTAGTCTTTAAACTTGCTGTTCTGTGGCTCAGCAGAGTTCACAGTACTGGCAGCAGCAGAATTAATGCTTCTGTTCTGGTAAACAAATATAAAGAATTATTGTCAGGCCTCAGGGAACATATAAGAAAATGAGGCAAATCAGCATATGGCTGGACACAACATAACGTATGCTACGAAGAAAACTATACAGTAGAATTTAGAAAGCTACCTAAAACAACTCCAGACCAATTAATGCTTCTGTTCTGGTAAACAAATATAAAGAATTATTGTCAGGCCTCAGGGAACATATAAGAAAATGAGGCAAATCTGCATATGGCTGGACACAACGTATACTACGAAGAAAACTATACAGTAGAATTTAGAAAGCTACCTAAAACAACTCCAGACCTAGAGACTCTTATCCACATTCAAGAGCAGAAACATGTATAGTCAGCATACTTGAACTATTTAGAAACACTGTCCCTCTCATTTTCTTCTGTTAAAGTTTTTTTACAAAACAGAAAAGATAATTAGGGCTCATGGAATAGATGACAACTCTAGAGTCTAGACACTGCATCCACTGATTTTCAGCAAAGCAAATTCATCTGGTTTATGAATGAGATAGCAAGATTAAGGCCAGATATAAAATTCTCAAATTTTATATCTGGCCTTAATATGGTAAATAGGAAAGGCAATGAGATTTGCATAAGCCGGGGAGTCAGGAAAGTTTTAAGGATCAGATCATACTTTTGCACTATTAAAGAGCAGGCCGGGTAGGTGGGGTTCATCAGCCATGGAAGGCAGCCCATCTAGGAGAAGGAAAACTCCAATTTCAAACCTCCACTGCCTTGTGGCTATATCCACTCATGGAAAAGGCTTCAGGAGACACTGCATCCACTGATTTTCAGCAAAGCAAATTCATCTGGTTTATGAATGAGATAGCAAGATTTGCACAGGACATAGATGAACAATATGTGTTCAGGCATTACTTACTTGCTGAATCAGTGGGCCTGCTGTGGTACAACTTACTATGCTAAGCAAAAGGATTTCAGTCAATATCTGGCTAACACAACCATCTGAGCCTAGTTCATAGCAACAAACTTATATTATGGTATTACCCATAATACAAATATCTTCAAAGCATCATTAGTTCCCCAAATGAATAACTAATTTCAAATGATATTGATGTATGTATCACTTGATTTCTTGGAAAGGGAATAAATTTCCAAACCACTGTTCAGAGGAGGGCAACGAAGATGATCAGGGGAATGGAAACCAAGCCCTATGAGGAAAGATCGAAACTGCACATTTAGCCTTTTGAAAAGAAAAGAGAAAGGAGATAGCATTTTTCAAATGCTTGAAAGGTAGTCAAACGGAGGATGGACAGGATCTGTTCTCGATCTTCCCAGAGTACTGGACACTTAATAATGGGCTCGTTACAGGAAGCCGATTGCCTAAGGAGGTGATGAGCACACGGATGCTTGAGTCATTGAAAAGAAAATTGGACAACTATCTGTCAGATCTGCTTTTGATTTAGATTCCTGGATTGATCAGGAGGTTGGTCCTGATGGCCTTATAGGCTCCTTCCAACTCAATTATTCTATGATTCTATACTCCAGCTTTTTCTTTAGAAAACCAATTACATCACTGCCTAGGATTACTTGTTGAGAAACAGCCAAGTTAGACATCACTTAGATCCTAATTCAGTCCTTCAAAAAAACCTGTGGTTAATGAAGGCAACTTCTGCTTTTGTGTCCACAATTCAAAATGCCAGGAAACAATCCAACATGGACTTGCATTATAGTGCCCATGCTGTTAGCAGGAAAAAGGAGGCAGCACTTTACATAACAAAGACCAGAATGAATTTTGCTAGTCTACAAAGATCCCTTCCTGTGCTCACTGCCATCCACAAAGAGACATTAAGGAAGGAGAAACTGCCAAATTGACTTATTTTTCATCAATTAACCACTTATCACCCAACAAAAAACAACTATCATGGCTGTTCTTCAAGTTCTCTATTTATTGCTTGGAGTACAAAGCAAACTGCATGGTTTCATATAAGCATGTGCAGCTAGGGTTTAGGAAAGATTTACCATGTAAAACAAGCATTGTTAAGGTCATGTATTTTCTAAATGATAAGATGGGATTAACAAGAGTAGGTTTATATGGACAAAAGCAATAGGATGAGTCCGAAGGTGAGTAACCCCCAGCCTTTTCCCTCGAGAAGGCTGGATGTGCATTTCACCATGCACTATCAGTCAGGTGGACATTAACTGATTTTTCTTGATTGCTCCCTGAACATCATTTGAGAAATACACCATGATCTGGTATTGGCTTTGGGTTTTTATTGAAGTACAAAAAGTGCAAACTGTGAAATACAAGATTGGTACCATTAAAAGGAAATAAACATAAGTGTGTGAATTAATGTCACATTAAAAACCCCAATCCTATTTCCAATAAACATCAAATCATGAAAATGTAAAATGAAAGGGACAAGAGCAACATAAAGCAAAGCTGTAAACTATGCATGAAGCCCCCACTGATTGAGTACACAACCAGGGGGCATTTGGCCATGAAGGATGACTGCAAAGTCAGCAAAGAGACATTTACCATAAGGCATCCAGTTGGTCTCAGCATCAGCTGCATCACTCAAAACCCCTTCTCAGTACAGACACAGGACTGACTGCTACAGCTGAGGGGCACCAAATGTCTTTGGGGGTGCCAGGACATCAGTGGGCTTTATCAAAGGATACAGTGGTGATGAGGCATTCCACCCACAGAAGCACTGTGGTCAATACCTAACATGGATGCCAAGCAGCAGGAGAAACCAGGGAGGAATATAACTGGAGTGGCACAGAGGGACAGTCACAGCCATTAAGCCAGGTAGCTGCTTCTAGCACACAGCTCCACAGACCAGCCACAGTGGCAACAGGTTTGGAAAGGGCAAAATGAGGTGTGGGGGTAAAAGTTACTGTGTGCTCCTGACATCCTAGCAGCTCAGCACAGTGAGAAAAACACAAAAGCTATCCATACTGGCTCATGTTTAAGGTTTTGTGAGTGTGTGCAGAATCTAACAATATAGAGTTTTCCAAAATGACACTTGGGTGCCGTGAGGAACACCTTTGGAAGTTTGAACTGTGTGGGATTCATACAGTGTAGCTCATAAACTATGGCCAAGGCTTACCAAAAAATTCTGTGTATGGCATGCCTAACCCAATACTTGTTTCCAGGAGTGCAGCAGCCCTGTCACTAATCCCAAAAGTATTAGTATTTGGATACAACGGCTGAACCAGCAACACTGTGTCCACAAGTGCCAGGTCCTTTACTTTTTCACAATGTTTCCATGGAAACTAGTTACTTTTTCCTTTCTCCCTGGGAACGTGGAATGAAAAAAAGCAAACTCAAAGATTGCTCCTTGGAATTAGATTTAGAGCCTTCTTGATTTCCAACAGTATGCTACAAAAGACATATGAGGCAGCAGCTGTCAGCAAAGCACCCCCAATACTGTTCTGAAGATAGGAAGCAAAGAGGCCAATGAAACTTCATCTTCAAACTGCTGTTCATGTAGTCATACTGAATGGTAGGAAAGAGACATAAGGCAAGTGATTCAAAGTGTTGTTGACAGTCACATACATGCCTGCACTTTCAGCTTTACCAGTTCAACTCCTTAGTGAAAGGTCCTCATGTCTCAGTGAAACAGAACATCAGGATCACACCCAAATTAGCATGTGCTATTCCAGGATTGAAACAGTGACTCTGTCCTTTCAGTTACCGCTGTCCAAACAAGGAACAGACAATTGTGACTCTCCAGATGTTGCTAGGCTGCACTTTCCATTCTTGCTCACCACTGCCTTTGCTGTTTAGGCCTAATGAAAGCTGTGGTCCAATATCTGATGGGCCATCCATCATTCACACAACACATTGCTTTACATACAACATGCTCCCAGATTTTAAGCAGGATAATGAACTAACTCTCTTCACCTCACTCAATAGTCCTTCATGATAGCGTCAAACACCCCGGTTTGCCATCTCCCATCATCTCATAGTATTGGGAAGGATTTCAAAAACTTACATAGCAATGGGAAGTCTATTAAATGGACCAGGCTAAGCAATAGGTGTTGATAAATTTAATGCACTTGCTAATCATTTGTCAGTTCAGCACAGGACTTCAACTTTACAAAAATTATTCTCTGTAACCCAATTGGAATAGGAGGCCACAGGTACAGAGCAAATGTAAAAAGCAAAAACAGCAATTACTTCTCCATAATTCTCAGAACTTGAACCCTACTACTTTACAGGGTGAATTTATAGGCTTTATGTAGACAAAACAGCCATAAGGCAGCTGGCAGCGTCACTATGGAAAAGGCAAACGTTAGTTATAAATCCAGTAGGAAACTGCTATTTTATAAAAACAAGACTGGCTTAGAATGTCTGTGCTTGGCTGAAGGTTGAGCCTAGTTGGCTGAAGGTTGAGCCTGGTTTCAATACCAGATTGGATTGCCTCCCTGGCCTCAAAAGGGGAGGAGTTTATATGGGCAAGAAAAAACACACTGTGAGACTGCATTAACTGTCTTCAATTACACAAAGGAGCAGCAGTGCTTCACATCTCCATGTGCCAAAGAAACCAAAAGTGCATGCAAGCCATTCTGGCTAGATTAGTAAGGTACATTTGAGTCCAACAAGGATGTGAAAGTAGACATCCTTGAATAAAAAAAAACTTACCCTGGCACAAGAAAGCCCCCCCCCCCATATAAGACAGGATGATTCCTGCATGAGGCGCGGCTTCAATGGTCAACCTTTTGGTTGACAATATGCTAATCCAAACAGTAGCTGCAACCAAGGACACAAATGCCCCATCAGCATGTACAGTGTCTGTACAATCACAAAGATGAGCAGTATTTAATTTGGGGTTTGGCAGTTTGGGGATCTAGTAGCAACGGGACGCATATCCCCTGTGTGATCCCTAGTGACTTATGGGTTTGAGGAGAAGCACCCGCACACCACAAATAAAAACACAGAGAAAAACCGTTGTGTTCCCAGTTAAAAAAGGAAAGGATTACTAGCAAAGCCAGTTTGGGAGAAAAATTCTGCAAGGAAAGATACTCTCTGTAAAAGAACACTATAAAGATGAGAGAACCAAGAGAGCTCCACCATATCAGAGACCAACTATAGAATCACAAGGAAATTGTAATAGCACCTACAGCAAGTGCCAGAGCTCCTTCAAATGTACAAATAACAATCTACACACTGGTAAGAAATGGGCACTCCCAAGATGGTGCAATTTTCTCTCATGACCCAGATTTGCCCCAGAACTAGAAGCCTGCTCCCCCTGCCCAAGAAGACAGGGCTGCTTATGATCCACAGCATCCCTTCTCCTCAACAGAAGAAGGCTCAAAACTGCCTGATTTGGGTGTGCTGGAGGAACCAACATGGATTACAGAACAGAATATTTAAAAGATTTCTCCCTCTTGAATGGCTACTGCAGCTCACACAGACACAATAAGCTCCCATAATATTTGGAAACTCCCACTGGAGCCCAATGAGAGACATTTGATGGACCCAATCCAGAAAAGGAACTGCAACATTCAAGTGCAACCTGGTCACTAGCATCCCAGACAGAATTGCTGAGGCAGAACTCAATTTCTAGAGACAGGGAGACCTGCTTCCCACCTCCCAACATGATCACAGACATACATACACACACACATCTCTCTCACACACACACATAGACATACACACACACACACACACCCATCTCTCACATACACACCCTCTTCCACTCTGCTCACCACCTAGAGTTTACATACACATTCTCTTCCACTCTGCTCACCACCTAGAGTTTCCCAAGAGTTGGCCACGACTCCAGGACACAGTTGAAAGGAAAATTGGGAAGAGAGAAAAGAGGAGGGTCAGAGTGGACACAGAGCACAGTAACATAAGACAGACTCTGAGTCAAGCCTCCATGTTCTGGAAAAGCTCTCTTTGGTTATCCAACAGGAACTTTGTGAAAGTGTTGATCGGATTGATGGCTTTCAGGGTTATGGCTGCATCTTTGGCCCACAACAGGTTTGGGCCAAAAACTACTGCAAGGTTAGCATTGGTCATCTTGTTGGTGTCACTGTTAGCAGAAACCTAGGTAGAAGGGAAGAAGTGGGAAAGAGAAGCCATTAGTCGCTTTAGAGACAAATAGACCTAGTCCACTTGACTTAGTGGTCACATGACTTAGACACGGAACGCTGTTACCTTCCCATCAAGGTGGTTCCTAGAGACAAATAGAGACAAATAGACCTAGTCCACTCTGTGGGACGTGGTGGCGCTGCGGGCTAAACTGCAGAAGCCTGTACTGCAGGGTCAGAAGACCAGCAGTCGTAAGATCGAATCCACGCGACGGAGGGAGCTCCCGTCGCTTGTCCCAGCTCCCGCCAACCTAGCGGTTCGAAAGCATGCAAATGCAAGTAGATAAATAAGGATCACCTTGGTGGGAAGGTAACAGTGTTCCGTGTCTAAGTCGCACTGGCCATGTGACCACGGAAGATTGTCTTTGGACAAAATGCTGGCTCCATGGCTTGGAAACGGGGATGAGCACCGCCCCCTAGAGTCGAACATGACTGGACAAAATTGTCAAGGGGAACCTTTACCTTTACCTAGACCTAGTCCACAAATACATCTGTATTCCCAGGAAATATACCTTGTGTGAAGACATGGTTTGGGGGATCTCACCTGCTCAAGGAAGGTCATCAGTACATGTAACACTTGGTAGTTTTCCTCTGGGAGAGTCTGAAGTATTTTGCGAACAATATCCACACGCTTTTCCTCCTCTACATCTGAAAAGAAGACAAGTGAGGCACAACCACCAACAACATGGAATGAGATTACATGGGCTAAAATAGCTTGCTGAGCAACAACTCTCCAGAAAGACAGTAATTTGCAATTATACTGCCTTAGAAAATGGCAATATAACAGTAAACTGGACAGCCAGCCCAATGAGATCCCAGTTTAAACTCCCAGGTGCAGCCATGTGCAAACTGCACTCATAATGGATGAAATAATGGATCAGGTGCAGACCAAGCAAATAAAAATGGAATCCTGGTAAAACAACATTGCCAGACTATGTACTTGTGCTTGTAGGGGGAATGCAACCATATTTAGGGTAGGTAAATCATTTAGGTCCCAGATGTGGGTAATTACCTAGAGAACCTTCATTCTCTGCTACCCATGAAGGTCAAAGTAGTTTTAGTGGCAATGAACATCTCTTATCAGCTTTGACTGGTATGACATCTATAACAATTCTTGCACAGTGATCTGAACGGGATCACAAAGCAGAACTACCCTAAAGTGCTCTGCGTACAACTGCCTTTCAGGGTGTGGCAGCTAGGTTGCTCTATGAAGTCCCCTACTATACACACACAAACTCCTGACTGAAAGATTTCTGCTGGCTATCAATTAGTTGTTGAGCCATGTTCAAGGTCTGCAGATCCCTAAACAACTGAAGATCAAACAATCAAAGAGAAGACCTTCTCTGATATAAGCACCCCCATCTGTACAATGGGGTGGGGGTAGGGAAACTGCTGATCACACCACACATTACTAATGCTCACTGGGTCATGGTGTAGAAGAGACTACCACACACAGAAATGATCTCCCTGCCAAGATCTGGTGTGCTTTTAGTATGGAGTGATTCCACTGATAACATAAGACTTCTTGTTTTACCGAAACGTTTCCTGACTGCTACCACTACAAACTGTTCTTATATACTTTGAGTGAGTTCAGTGTTTCAGTCATTTAATGTATTTTTGTCAAGATTTTCTTTTGGGAATAAATTTGTTTTTTTTTTCTTTTGGGGAAAAGCACTATATAAAATTTATAAAATAAGTCTCCAATAAAAACAAGGTCTGGTAGTCATGAAAGAGTCTACTACTCAATGCAGCCTACTGTCTATATAGCATAAATGTATGAGGGACAAATACAGAGGAGATTTCTGCTATGGGATCAGGACTCTTTTGGTGGCCACTCACGGGAGAAATTGACAACATCACTATAGAGACCAAATGTGAGAAGAGGCTCTGGCAGATCCCTCAAAAAGGTCTTGAGAATCACAGCAGGAAGGTGAACATCTTCGTATTGCAAGAAGTCCACTGGCAGTCCTGGAACAATATTTATTTATTTATTACATTATTTATTTATTACATTATTTATTTATTACAATACAGAATAACTAGTTTAGAGGCATGATCAGAGAACAAACTTGCTGTGAAAGGATTAATCTTTTTCAACCAGATAAATTTAGGCAGGACAACTAAAAGGTACAAGCTACAAATGTGGCAGGGAATAGATCTCATACATAGTCCTATAAGCATCAGTGGCATTTTATCCTTCTCCAAAGCAGCAATAATTAGGAGCATTTAGAAAAGAAATGGTGAAGAAATAGAAACACAGAGAGAGAGAGCTGAAACAGAGGACAGACATGCTATACTCAGGTCAGACCCAACTGCTTGCTATGTGCCACCAAGTCACCCCCAACTTAAGGCAACCCAATCAGTAAGTGACCTCCAAGACGTTTTGTCATTAACAGCCTTCCTCAACTCTTGAAAACTTCAGGCTGTGACTGCCCAACTGTTACATCTGACTAAGTCAGCTTTTTTATCCAGTGGGAGGAGGCTTCTACTGGAACAGGTTTATATCAAATGGAATAGACAGTTGGGTTCTAACCAAGTTTCAAATAAAGACCTATTCAAAGATAAAACATCTTGTGTTACGGCAGGAATTTCAAATGCCAAAGGAGATTTAGGACCTAGACTGAAAGGAGATCAAAAGTGGGAAGGGGGAGGGCAGTGACCTAAGCAGACTCTGTGAACACAAAGCAGGCACTTACCCATATTATATTTCTGCTGAACTTCTCTGACTGTTTGTGTATTTGCGGATCGCCGAAAAATTCCTTGTGTGGCAACAGCTAGAACCAGAAAGAAAGAAGACAGCAAGAGCTCAGGGATTACTTGGATGTAGACATGGCTAAGCGTTATTTGTTTTCAAGAACACCAAGTCTTTCAAGTGAGAAATGCAACTTCTCTCATTGCTGCAGGATGCCTTCAACACAGAAATATTGAACAGCCACATTAAAGGCATTGGGCACATGTGGGTAGCAGCATCTCCACAACAGTTCTTCTGCCCAGTGTCCAATTTTACTCTATCGTTCTGTAGACCTAATTCCAATGTGAAGAAAAATAAGAGAAAGTGGGGTGGGGAAAGGAGTGAGCTCCTGCAGGGTGGTGCCAGGAGATGCGAAGAAGCCTGAATTTGTGCAACACAAAAGGATGCCACCTGGGACTGGCAATGGCACAAAACAAGTAAGAACAGAAATATGCCCAGTTCACTCACCGTGCTCCTGTAGAAAGGCAATAGTCTCCCTGACCACCAGTGGAATGGGATTCTGGTCTGAGCTCTTCTCCCTTAAGCTGTTGGAAAATGAGAAGTTTAGATCCACCCTGTTTCTTCTCTGCAGCTTATTTGGCTTAAATGAGGTCAGTACATAACCAGACTTCAAGCAAACTGGTCGTAAGGCTCCAAAAATCCTAAGAGAACTCCAGCAGCCAAGGAAAGAAGAGTCACCCAAAGGCACCTTTGTTCAACCTAGTAGCTTTCTGTCACTTTAGCAACTCAGACTAGCAGAAAAAAACACAGCTGCAAATTCAAGATTACTGGAAACCGTTTTCAGAATCATTCCCAGACAGAATCCAGCGTCACTGGACCACAAAGTGAAATAAACAAATGGGAATACTCACTGCTGGAGAGAGACCCCGAACTGTTGGTTGGGCAGTGGTGGGCGGGGTGGTGTGACTTTCTGAGGCACTTGGGAGGGCTTTTGAAGTGATCTCAGATATTCATCATACCTAAAGTGAAAGAAAAGACATGCATGTATGTACGCTATCCTACTCATCCTGTCCTACACTGAGAAGGCTAAGTTGGTGCCCAAAAATTCCAGAAGCCGTGACAATTCCTTACACACCCTCCACCCAGCCTAGGAATTATTACACACAACTGAGGAAGCAAACAGGAAGGAACTCAGCATTAAGGCAAGAGCTTCAGCCATCAGGAAGAGAAAACATAGACGGAAAGACAGGAAGGGCAGAAGAAGGCGACTGAAACTAAGGAGTTGGCTATGGGTTTAACTGTGTTCTTCAGACAAGCAGGACTGATATCCTGAGCCCTAGGAATGGCAAAAATAGCCAGGACCAAGCCAATGGCTGCACCAAAAGGCCCTTCTTCAGAGAGTTAACAGAGTTGGTAAAAGAGCAAGGAAGAGATGGAAGAGACAAAGGTAAATGTCAGGGAGACAGTATACAACACAGAGACAGCAGAAAACAAGAGTAAAATAATGAAGATGAGAGAAACGGATGTCAGTTCTTCCCAGTAGCTCCCAATGTACAGAAATACCAGATTCTCAGCACATCCCACCTCTTCTCTTTCCTCCCGCAACACAGAGACAGCAGAAAACAGGAGTAAAATAATGATGAGAGAAACGGTTGTCAGTTCTTCCCAGTAGCTCCCAACGTGCAGAAATACCAGATTCCCAGCACATCCCACCTCTTCTCTTTCCTCCCACCCAGATACCCTCCTAGGTGCAGCCTCCTCTGAGGAAGCTGAGGAAAAGCTCTAGAAAACAAACAGCATGCCCTCACTTTAGCACCTGGCTTGGGATCCCCAGTTGTTCCAGTTTCACATGTTCCTCCAGGTCACTCAGGTAGTTTGCATAGAAAATCTTCCTTCCAAACTTAAAGCTGCAAGACAAATGATAAACCAATGCATACGAAATCTGGGTACTTACAGTGCAGCACTAGATCACCAAAGGATGCTATCAAACACAGGGTGAACCATTTAAAATGAGAACTACAAGAAAGAACTGAGATACCCTTCTGTACTGAATGCCCACAAGATTACAGGAATAATACCTTATCTGTATGCTTTAAATTGGTCTGAAAACTACCCCTTTTTCTAAATGTGGTACTGGAGCTTGCAGAGTCTGCTAAGACTAAAAAGCATTTTATGTTGTTCCTTCCTTCCTCTTATTCACTGACCAAGGCCAGAAAAATTTCCATAGCAAGCCTGGGCTACCAGCCAAGTAAGGGTCATTTGCACAAACAATCTAAGCAAAAGCTAATCAAAACCTAATCCCAGCAGGACAGAGACGACTTTCAGTCCAGATCAGAACACAGCATTGAAGACAAATTGTCCAGGAGTGAAAGGAAGGGAGGAACAAGTGCGACATCAGTTTTTTTCACCCCTGAGCTGCTAGTTTCCGTACTGCCTCCAAAAGAAGTCAAGAGCTTGGGGGAACATGGTGCCCTCTTTCCTTGTGCTTTCTTTGTACTATGAAAGCTTCTACTGGTAGGGGAAAATTGAGGGAATTTCATGAACTATGACATAAAACATATGAATGTGACACTGGACAGCAAAAGCTGTCTTAAAAAGACACAGGAGTATATGATATGGGACATACATGTGTGCCTTTGCAAAGGACAAATTCCAACATGCAACCTTCTCAGCCTAATTTAAAATTAAAATCAATGCTTAAGTAATGAATTTTAAGCTGTGAGAGGTAGATATTAATTAGCACTTGGTGATGATGTGGTGATGATTATCACACTTTAACAATTGTTCTAAGGATAAAACTGGAGGAAACCACCCACGCTGAATCCAAACTCTTTGGAAGATGAGCAAGAATGAAAATGTAACAGAATAAAAACTGCTATCAAATGATGACACCTCATTTAGCTAGGTTCCCCACACACTTTACCAGAGCCTACCCTTTTCAAAACTTAAGCCTAAATCCTATTAAGAATGGCATTTATGCAACTTTTCCCCTTCTGGCATGCACCACTTTGCACAATTAGTAACACAACCAGTAGCGTTACTGATATCACAATTAGTGCTTGCCCAATCACAGAAAGTATAAACTGCAGGTGGGGTAGAAATGTTTACACAACTGTCATTATTTGGTTATTTGAGGAAACAAGATTTTCATCATACGTTTTAATTACGTACATTTATACCCCACCTTTCTTCCAATGAGTTCAAGGCAGAGTACACAGCTCACTTCATCTTCACAACATCATGTGAAGAGTCAGTGTGCCCGGCCCAACACAAAGCAAAGCACTTTCATATCTTACTACCTGATCAGGGGCTTGAAGAGGATCAACAGAGTCTTGATGAACATGGTTGGATGCACAATGTACAATGCTTTGATGTTCTTTTTGTATCTAAAAAGGACAGACAGAAGGGAATTTGACTTGCTAAAATAAAGATGAACAGCCAACTCAAACCATATACTGAAACAGACTTCCATGACTACCTTTTTGAAAACTACTGTAGGTTAGTTATCCTTCACACATGCATTACAGATCCAGCTACAGCTGTCTCACAGCAGCTTGACTCATCCAAAATGCTCAGCAACAAACACTTACTTGCGGTCAAACTCCCGGTAAGCATCCCGCAACCAACTCAGAGATGGTTTGTTCTCACTGGTCAGGCCATGGTGCAAATACACTAGGGTGTAATCACTCTCCACATATTGGTCCAGTGTATACTTCAAGTAGCTGAGGGAAGATGGACATTATATTTCTTTCTTTGCATCCTGCAGTCAGCATAAAGAAAATCTAGCTATTACAGGCAAGGAGATGTATGATATGGGCCCTAATGGGGCAATGAGGGCAGGAGAATAGATAGATGTAAGCAACCCAAACATTAGTGCTCAGGGAATGTATACTTACATGGTCAGGCAAAAACACTGCTACCTGTATAGGTGAACAGGGGAGGAGGGTTCAGGACTAAACCTGATGGCTTGCATAGCAACACCCACCTCAGCAATTTCACATGATCAAGCTGATAACTGGGAGGCATCCGGCAGGCACTAAACAGAATTACTTTCCGCCCATACTTGTCATCACCTGAAGACAAAAATGTAAAAGATCACAGTAGGCTGAAGGACAAAGTCAAAGATTCTACAATCTACACAGAAGGGGAGCAATGTAGAAAGTGTTTCGGAATGCTTGGCTCTTCCAAGTTCAGATTAATGGAAACTTCAAATGCCTGGTTCAACACTGTCACGTGGAACTTCATCCACGAGGAATCCCAAGAACCCTTAGTGGATAATGCTGTCACTGAAGATGACCCACAATTCCTGAGGATGATAGGTATTAGAGAGCAAGGTATAAAAAGTGACTATGGCAGCCATAAAGTGACTGTGGCAACCGCAAGTCATGAAAGGACCATTTGAATTGGCACTCATTCATCAAAGTAGCTGAGATCTATTCAGTGAACAGCATCTACAGTGCTACTGTAGTCAACACTGCTGAGGTTTCTGATGCTAAGTCAGAAAAAAAAATCACTTCATCCACAGATGGGCAAAGGAAAAGTCACTTATTCATTTGCATAGCATTGTTCCTAATCAGTTTCCTCCCCATTCTATATAACTGCACACTGCTTGGTGACTCTGTATTTAGGATTGGGGGACAGAATGCCCACTAGAAAGCAAAGCAAACAAAATCAAGCACTACAGTGATGACTTGGCCTCAAACATTATGGACTAAAGCAAGCTATGAAAAGATGCTACATCAAGCCACAAGCAAACTTCACAGGCAAATGATAACATACTCTGTAGATAATTTTTAATTTTTTTCCTAACTCCCAAATCAGGCAAATAACCACACACATTTGTAAGCCTAGGCACGGGGCAACACAGCTTCTATTACATGGGAGTCCAAGAAATGACTGACCATGGGCTTCTGGTTATTTCATGCTACTAACATGAAACTTATGGAAGCCTTTTGCTTTGGCTAATAGCAACAGCACTGATTAGTTAGCAGGGAAGACAAACCAGTTTTCCTGCTATTAGTTTAATTATGTGTTTTCCAATCAGTCTGCTTATGATCAAACAAACTATGCAATTGACAAATCAAAACTGTAGAAGGGAAGAAGTAACCACCTGTCACTAGAATTATTTAATTATTAGAAAGCTGCATTTAACATAACTGACTCCTCATCTCATGACTATTTATGCCAGAGTAGCTGAAATCCTATTATGCAGTCACACAAACAACATAACTTTTGCATTACATTATAAAATCTCCATAGACAGAATCAGTAGCATACTGAGATGTGTGACTCAGCATGCAACAAATAATGACTGAAATCCTGTTGCACAATTATGTGCATGGAAATTCTGTGCATATTAGTCTTTATTTTAAATTTTCCTATCCTCCTTCACTCAGGTTCTGGGATTCCCTGAGAATCCTTTTTGACCTGAGGAAGCCTTTGTGAGCTTTAGCATGGGTGTGTGTGTGTCAATGCCCCAAAATCGCTGCTTTCCCACCACCAGGATAGAATCAACTGCTGCAATTTGGGAACATTAAAATTTAATTTAATGATTAAATCACAACCCCCATCTCAAGGCTCCCAAAGGTTCCCCCAGGTCAATAAGGAGGCCTAGGGAGCCTCAGAACCTGGGGGTGGGACAGGAAACCTTAATATGCACAACTAATTATGTCACCAGGGTTTACATGTGCACGTTTCAGCCAAAGTTTTCTGAGATTTCTTAGCTTAGCTTATGTCCAAATGTTATGTCATTCACATAACTGCACAACAGGGTTTTAGCCGGTAAGCCCCAGTCTGAAAAAGCCCCTCTCAAGAATCCACCTCCTTGCATAAACAACTCTGTAGATAGGAATTCATACCAAAGGCTGTCTCGTATGGATGCAAAGTTCTGCATGTGTGCTCAAAAGAAAAAGACAAGACTGAGACTGTTTATCCTTAAAGATGTCACAATACTCATCACTGTAAGAGCACTCTGAGGTTTAAGGAAGATACATTTTTTCTGCCATAAATTCAAAACTCATTAGCGCCACAGGCTATCTCCTCCTACAGTTAAGCTTGATTCCAACTTTACAAATGCCCCCAGACTCAAGAAGAAAAAGAATATTTCCTGTTTTTCCAATAAGAAGGATGGTCTTATTCCTCATACTGAAAAAGAGTGATAAACACAGGAAACATGTCCTGTAAACACTACTTTACTGGATTGTAAAACTTACTGATGGCTGATGAAGGCAAATGTGTATTTGTAATATAATGAAGTGAATGAAGAATCATAATCATTATCTAAATAATACATCAAATTATTTCACAAAATGTAAAGTACCTAACGGTAATGGATCTCTCACTAAATGTTTTACTTCATAAAGCTTTGGGGAATTCAAACTTCCTCATAAGGATAATTCTTATCCTAGGAGCTAAGCTCTCTAACAATTTACTGTCAGAGCAAATAAAAAAGCATGGAACAGTTTACTGTAAAAGTCACTGGAAACAGATTAATTACATATACTAAAATGGGAATGGGAGAAAACCTCATATAAAGTCAGTGGGAACAGAACCAAGATGGTGCACAGAGTCTTCCTTCTTGACACTTCTGACCACTCAATTTAATTCTTCCTCCCCTTTCAACAGTCAGCTCAGTCTCTATTAAGCTGCTTTAGAGTTTTTCTTGAACCATTTTTGCACCCTAGGATGCCTCAAACTTTCCTGACATCTCCCTCTTACACCTGGACAGTGTTGCTTCAGTTAAAGAAGCCCTGACACTTGGGAGAAATGAACCTTCTATTTTTTTATTATTGTTCATATTCTGCCTTCCTCACAATGAGTCCAGGGTGGCTAACTTTGTACCTAGAACACAAAGCAACACACCAGGACCATTGAAGCTCTAATTCTGAGCAGATATAATTATAAACAGATATAAAATATAATTTGCTCATCAGCATAGATGAGCAAATGTACAAATACAGCATATGTACATTCTTCAAATGATGGTGTGTGTGTGAGTGGAAATTAGATAGTGAACAGAAAGGAGTTCCACTGCCAGCCACTACTAAGAAGGCCCTGCTACATGCTGCTAAACCAGTGGTCTCCAACCTTGGGCCTCCAGATGTTCTTGGACTACAACTCCCAGAAGCCTTCACCACCACCTCTGCTGGTCAGGGTTTCTGGGAAATGAAGTCCAAAAACATCTGGAAGCCCAAGATTGGAGACCACTATGCTAAACTACAGGCAATGCTCATCAAGGCAACCATACCAGAAGTAAAGTCTCTCTACTGATCTTAAATCCTAAACTGGTTACATCCTGGGTAAGGCAATCTTTTTAATACTTGGTCAAGAGTCCTTCAGGCTTTGTGCTTAAGCAGCAACACCTTCAATCAGATTTGTTTGGTCACTGGCAGCCATTGGGGATACTTCAAAAGGGGTGTGTTATGCTCTGCTTTTGCTGTCCATCAACACAAAGGCAGCAGCATTCTGCAACAGTGGACTGTCTTAAAGGGAAGCCTGAAGTAGAAAGTACTGCAATAACCCAATTCTTCCATCCTCCTATAGTTCAGCCTTAAAAAGTGTCACTGAAAGTCAGAATTGACTTGATGACACACAATCATTAATTATGATTACACACAACTACTGTGGAGACAAATACATATCTCCTAATGCTCCCATTAACACTAGATTTCGCACATGGGGAATGGGGCAAGAATTGAGATGACACATATCAGCAAGTAAGTGTACATCCACTAGCTGCAACAACTAAAATGACTCCACAAGTCTAGACAGTTCTCTTAATACTTACTCAGGAACTGCAACACTTGTAGCATTTACTTTGGTGCACATTCCAGCAATTATCCTCAAAAGGTTTTAGTTATGCCCTGATCCTGGCTAGACGCTGAAGCTATGCAATCTGATAAAATTTAGGATACAGCTAATCCACAGCTTTTCTGATACATGAATTGTCATATTTCTGTGTGCTTCTGCTTCTAGCCAGCACAGTGGCTATAGATATCATAGTTCACATCAATACTTTAGGTCTGGTTTCTATCTTGGAACTCTAGTTTAACTTCATATCTTGCTATTTCAACATCTAACTAGGATTACTGATTGACTGATTGATTGACTGACTGATTGACTGACTGATTGACTGATTGATCTCTCTTCCCATTCCAAGATCTGCACTGCCTGGTCTGGTAAATAATATCAAATGCAAGCTAGAGGGAGAGGAAACCAGCAAGGTTATAAAGGAGAGAGGAAGGGAAAGCAAGAGTAAGAATTTTGATTGGGTGGATTTGGAATCGAGTTTCAAAA